CTTGCAAAGTATCAGAACGTATAATCTAATTTAAATGGACTAATTTAAATGTTTTAACTTTAAATGATTAAATTCTGCACCGACCGGTAAATGTTATATCGAGGTAGGACAAGAATCCAATGTTTTTTGTATGCGAGGACTGTCAGTCTCAGATTCGACAGCTCATCTATAGTAATAAAAAGTAGCGTAGTTCATGATTAAACTGAAAATAATTGATAATGCAGTTCCTAAGACCGCTTTTTTAAGTACCAGAAGTTTGGTGTGTGTGCGGCAACGCTGGCGCCAGGCTATAGTTAACTCCTCCCTGGCGCGGTGCGACTAGAACTTGAATTGCTTTAATAACAAATTTGGATGAAAATAAAGTTGCATTTACATTATACATAATAAATTGCAAACTCTACCTGGATCTGTGTTTAAAACAATGCCTTTTTCATTAAAAATTCCTTTAATGTTTGGTTTTAGTTATTCAAAACACTAAAGAAGTTTCAATAAAAAGTAGATTCTTTTAAACTTGTGTAATTGATAAGGCCTAAATATATAAAAAAATCTTTCATCACTTGAACAAAGCCTCTATATACCAGCTGTAAAATCAAGGCTGTTGGAGCATTAGGTTCGTACGCAAATCAAGCAGGAGTGCTTATGAAGGACATAGATATATATCAGTCCAAATATTAGTCTCAACTTATTTTCATATATAGTTTTACATATAGTTTCAACTTATTTTCATTAAACGAAATATTCTGGCAAGACCAGTTTAATTCATTACTTCTTCACTTACTGGTTTGTTAGTTACTCTACTAAATTTGGATTACCTTCATAAGTTGCATTAGAGTGCCATAATTCCTACCTGTGCTGTGTTACATATCTATCATCTACGTATGTACACAAACAACAATACCAAAATAATGCATGTTCAAACAATTAGTAGACGTTTAGATATGAACGACTATTGTGAATCCTTGAAGATGGAGAGTATTTTACTCGCACGTATAATTTTTATTATACATGCAACGGGAAATTGAGATTTGTAAGGGTCTTGAAAATGTCCAAACCTTGCTTAGTAATAATTTCCAAGCCTTTCTTTTTGTAATTTAATAAATGCCTTAATGACAATCTTTACAGTGAATGAAATAAAACAATTTAAGTCTGAAGTTTGATAACTTGTACAGCCTGGTGAAAATTAAATGATTCTTCTGGACTGATTTTTTTGCGCGTCTAAAGTTTGGAGTCAATTTCGTTTAGGAAACACTGCTCGGGGCCGAGAAATGTTTCAATTTCTCATCCTCTTTCATACTTTTCTAATTTGTTTCGCTCGTCTACTTACGATACCTTGGGCCGTCAGGTACAAATAACATTGACGATGGTTAACGTTAAGAAATGGTTAACAAAAACTCAATCCTGTCTACCGACGGTAACTTTGAATATCTGTCTTTCAGGTAGGAATAGCATGGACGACGGTTAATGCATCCGTGTTAATTATAAGGAGTAGAATTCAAATTAGGATATGCGCAGCACGGTGTGGAATAAGCCATTGAGGCAGTGCACCAGGCACGACACCTCCCTGGCCTGGGGCGACTACAGGGGCGTAACCACCCAACTGACGACCACCCGTCATACGAGGTGCAGAGTTATAAGGGGTGCAAGGGGCGCTGCATAATCTTGAGTTTGTTCTTATTTGGTTTTCTTTCAATTATTATTTATATTTGGGCCTGCTTCAGTATTGTTTTCGTTTGGCTCTCCTCAAAGAAATGTTTGCCCATTTCTTCAATTGTGTACTAGGATTAAAATTCCCCGTTTTTTCTTATTTACGAAAGGAAACTATTACACTGAGCACGGCAATGCCCGAGTTAAAAACATTTTGTAAATAGAGGAAGCGAACACTAATAAACTGCACTCGAGTTTCAAGTGATTCTTGCTTTTCTGTGCGACCAGTAACAGAGTTCCACTTCCAGGTGTTGGATGGCAGGTTAATCCTTGTCAGACTGCATAATTCTACTAAGTAATAATCCTAACGAGTTTAGGTACAGGTGTATTTATCGAGTCCGACAAGATTTGGACAACTTTGCAATTGTTTGTTAAATAAAATAAATTATTTAGCTTAATCCTTGTCAGACTGCCTAATTTTACTACGGTACAATCATACCGAGTGCAGGTACAGTTGTATTTATCATGCAGCTCGAGAATTAGAGATGTTATGTGGGCGAGTAAGTACCGAGGTAACCTTCCTAGACGTCCCTTTCCGCGTCTCTGAGGTGGGCGGACGACTTGCTATTCAAGCGACTTCCGTTATTTGGTACGTACTGTATAACGCATGGTTGAACTAGTATAAGGTTGACCCATCAGAAGCCAATTTTTGCGGAAGTAGTTCGTTGTTCGCCCGTGACGTCACAGATCTCGGTGACGTCACGGGCATTAACCAATCACCGAAATGCGATCAAACCAGTCAACCAATCCGTCATGGGAATGACGGGTTTGTTCAAATTTCTCGATCTACGTGACGTAACAAGAAAGCTGAACTGAAAGGCGGAGCTTCTCGTGGGTCAACCTTATATATATAGTTCAACCATGGTATAACGTACTTAATTATGTTCAAGAAAACTCGCGTTATACAAATATTGCACCTGCATTTGGTCCGTTTTAAAACCAAGTGCTAGATTGAATTTAATATGAATTTAAATGAAAAAATTTACCAAACGTCACGTAATAATTTTTAACGGCTTCAGACGACATTCTACGCCGGCATACAAATTCAAGCGTTAGATTGTGTGAATACAAATTTCATCTCCAGAAATATTTCCGTTATTGTCCATCAATAAATAAATTTGTTTATACTAGGCATTTCTGTAACAGGTGAGAATGAAAGCCAATATTTCTATCATATTATTCTGTGAAAACATCATCCAGGAGGCTCAGCAATAGCTTCCAGCCTTTATTAGCGTTCTAACTCCTGTGGGTAGTACAAAAAATTACTCACACGTTTTCCACTTCGGAAAATTATAAGCGATTATATAACTATATATTAAAATCTCATCGTTTTGTAGGGACAATGGATGAAAGGAATGAGGAGATAATGAACAAGGAAATGATAAGAAGCATCTGGACCAAAACCTTTCCACAACTCAGAACAGTGGTTCACACAAGTAACAATACGAACTGTATAAAAAGTTTTCTAATTACTCGTGCATTTCAATTAACCTTTCCAACAAAAATTCAACAAAGACAAGGCGTAACAAAAAGAAAAGCAAAAATTTGGTCCACGTCCCCTTATTTGATGTTCATCAACATTTGTTGTTCAGTAAAAGGAAGACGAGGCGATATCATCATCTCAAGAATTTCCAAAGGACCCCTTTACTTTAAAATCACCAGCGCGATCATGTGCCAAGGCAGTCACACCGACATCACAAGTTCAAGATCTCCATCCAAATTGTGACAACAATTGAACCTAGAATTGATAGCGCTCCCGCTGAAAACAAGTCCAAAATTCGAATGCTTCGCAGACATTCTTTGTCAAAAAGTATCCGTAATGCGCGTTGACCGATGATTGCGTGGAAATGTCGTCAATGAATGTATACGCGGACATTTTCCAAGATGTTGCTTAGTACCAAACGTGGATCAGCCGCTGCTAAAGGAACATTACGGTGCGAATAACCACGTTAATGAACGCACTAGCACCTCAAGCTAATGTCGCTGAAACAACGCTGCTTACGAGTTAGTTCCATCGGAACAGCGTTTGATGAACTGTATCTTAACGTTATATGCCAGGTGGATTAGGCCACGACACTATGGTTAGTATAACCACGACACTACGGTTGACATGACGATGGAGCATGAAGTACGCTGATGTTTGCCAGGTGGCTTACGCGCATCACCACGACGCTACGGTAGACATGACGATGGAGCATGATGTACGCTGATGTTTGCCAGGTGGCTTACACGCATCACCACGACGCTACGGTGCCAGGTAGATCTGGCGCATCACCACGACGCTACGGTGCCAGGTAGATCTGGCGCATCACCACGACACTACGGTTGACATGACGATGGAGCATGAAGTACGCTGATGGTTTCAAAGAAAAGAATCGATAGACATGGCCGGGTACAGATTGCTAGGTCGTCACCGATGCAGCAAGGCAGTGATGGGCTCTCCTCTTACATACCGGGGCTCGAGGACTCACGCTAAAACCGAGAAAATCGGCGGCCCTCACCGTTCTCAAACTTTCCACACTACCATTTAAACAAGGCAGACAAATTTATTGAAATTTACCGGCCAGTTTTTACGGAAATTATGCGATGTAAGAACAATGAACGTCGTCAACTTTCCATTATGCATGAACTATTATCCTTGTGAACAACTCTCCTCATCGCAGAAAAATTACACTTTAAATAATAACTCATCTCGACATCGACAATTCTTCGTATGTGATACCATGCCAGTAGCCGAGGCAAATCGTCAAGATTTGCGGACGAGAAGTGTTATCAACAGAGCGTGAAATTCTTAGATACGACGGGAAAAGAATGCTTACAATTAATGCTTACAGTAGTAGCCTAGATACCTCGTAGCCCATATGAGTGCCATAAGGAAACCCACACCAACCCAAGATCACACTCACACACACACACGCACACAATTAAAAAGGTCCAAAAGAGCCAGTGAGTAGAGCGACCATACGTAAGACCTACAACATTCGAGGCACCGTTGCCGTGTGATGCGAGAGATGAACATCAAATCAACAGATTTAGCTCCCGAAACACGTTGGTCTAACGCATGATCCACACGTACTCGGAGACTTCACGATTCCCCCAAACCATGAAGCAAGACTCAGATCGACCACAGAGAAAAGAAAGCGAAGCGCCTCAAGAGGTGCTTGCACCGACAGAAGTATCATCGATCAAGACGAGAGGAAAGTCCATAAAGAAATCAAGGTAGTCTGTTTACTTTAAAGCCGAGCAAAGAAAAATGCCGAAGCTCTACAGGAGAGCACTAGAAGCGTCGCTTGAGAAAAAAAATGACATAGCAAGGCCATCAAAAATAAGGCAGAGAGACTTAGGACGCGAAGTTGCTCAGAGAAACAGTTCAATATGAGTAAAAAAATAACTAAAAGAACACTACAAATACACCAAACCAAACTATATAGGTTTCAACAACTAAACCCTTTGTTAACGCAGCATAGTATAGCTACGTTAAGAGTACGGCAAACAATGCCCCCTACGATAATAACCAGACAAGTGAGCAAGAGCAGAGAGGAACACAAAAAGGTCCTTCCTCCAGCAAACCAAACTTACCCAGAGAACACAAATATAATATGAAAAATGTTGGCAGCGCAACAGCGGCAGCGTCACTATACTAGCTACTACAGCTCTCCACTAATTTATGAAACAAATATGAAACACTAGTCTGGCAATCTGGCAGCTCCGGAGGAACCGTATAACCAGCAAGTCGATTTCACAGTTCCTTCAATGCAGAGGCTTCAAATAATGCAGAACAAATTTGCAGTAGCAACCAATGAATACAGGAAGCTACGCTCCTTTCGAAGGCAAGACACACGCACAGGCACTTGAGTCAAGATGCCAGTGCATTTTCAGCTGCCAAACGAGCTTCAGGCTCCCGACGAAAGGCCTCTGAATTATCGTTTGGGGCCCCAAGCAGATGACATCTGAGGAACAGACGCCGTAGCCTTCTTGCCCATTGACGGGAAGTCTTGCGAGGAGTTCATGTTAGGAGCTTCCTGCGCCCAGGGAGCACCCGCGACCACAAAGCCCTGCACGGGATGAGAATTTCAGGCAAGTTGTTGCAAAATGCAATGCATTTTCATACCTGAAATGCTTCGAGTCTTCTCTAGGCAGCAAATGCATCAAGAGATAAACCAAATAATGAATCGAATAAATAATTCACTAAATTGACCGATTGAACTGCAATAAAACGAAGTGATGACTCCAATGTTAATGTTAAAGAAGATTAGTGTACGGAAGATGGTATTACCTGCTTATTAGGTCCAGCAGATCCATTGGTGAGATGCGTGCCGCCGTTCTGAGCAGGCTTCGACTTGGCAAGAGGCTTGCGTACCTCTACAACTTCAGCTTCAGCCCAGTTGCCGTCAGCCGCCTGTTGTTCGGCCTCTTCGGCAAACTTCTGCTCCAGGGGCTCCTGCTCTCCCTTCAAGCCCATGTCCAGGCAGGCACCGAACTCTCGAGGAGGAGGCCTTGAGGCGCTGTACATGTTCATGTCCTCGCGCTCCAAGATGTCCTGCATGTACTCCTCGGCAAGATTCAGGAGCTCCTCAGCGCACTTGTCAACGTTTGCTTCAGCTCCTGAGATCACGACCGTGTTGGGGGTGGTCTCATCTCGAGGGAAAGTGATCGATACCTAATGCGAGAAAATTGTAGTAAAACCACAAGAATTATGGATTATTACAAAATAAATTTATAAAATAAATAAGTCTAAATTTAAATACGTGAACCCAAATAATGGTTAATAAATTTTCATAATGAACTAATCAATGATTATTATGATAAATTTCAAATGAAACTCGTAACTGATTCCCACCTTATAATCGTCCATGACTTTGCGAATGGCCTTGCCACGGGAGCCGATGAGGCGGGAATGCACGCGCTGGTCGATCTCAATGGGAACCTTGACGAACGTGTCGAGGTCTCCAGTGATGTCCATGATAGCCTGGCGAGCCTCTTCACAACTCTTCTCATATCCAGTGATGGTTATGAGCGATGGATCTTCATCATTCTTGGACGGGAACTGAATGTTTACGCCGTACTTGTCACGGATCTTGGACACAACCGATCCCTTCTTGCCGATGATCTTGGAATGGTAGTCAGGCTGGACGTTGATCGACAGCTGGAAGCTGCGAGCGGCTTTGTCCACTTCTTCTGCTTCCAGTTCTTCCACCTTCTTCAGGAGTCCTTCTTTTGCGTTCTGCACGTTGCTGGCAAGACCTACTATTTTGATGACATCGGTTTCTGCTGATGCAGGTGGTATCTGAATAGGGGAAACTTAATCATTAATAGATCACAGAGTTTCAAAATGACCTTCATAATCCAGTTTTCAAACATTGACAATAAAAAGAATTAGCAAAGCATGATATTTCAACGTTTCACTAATAATGCGTCATGAATTTCCTAGGTTTGAAGGAAAATATTCACCTGGATGTTAACGTCGAACTCGGTCATGAAGGCTTTGACAGCCTGGCCGCGCTGGCCGATGATGAAGCGATGATATTTGAAGGGCACGTGCACCTCTTCAGTGATGGGCACCAGGTCCAGCAGTGCCTTCTTTGCAGCCTCGCAAGCTTCAGCAGAGCCTTTCAGACGCACAATGTCGCAAGGCCGCACCTACATTACCATAACCACCATTAGTACATCAATTAAAACTAATAATTGCATGAAATTACAACTTAATTCTATCAATAAAATAGAAGCGTAACACAGAAAACATTAATTTTCAGTGAGACTAGTCAAACACACAAACAAAACAAATACTATTTGCTCAGAAAAGGCGTAAAAATAGAATGTAATGATTTTTCATGTCAAAAAACTGCATAAGAAACCCCGCGCCTCCCCCTGCCCTCCTCCACAAAAAATTACTCAAGTTAATAAAAATTCCAATCCCTATTTACCATGAATTGATTGATGCTTGCCAAATTCAAGATTTATATAAATGCATTTATCCCTATTTACCATGAATTTATCAATGCTTGCCAAGTTAAACATTTACAAATGCATTTAATTGACCTCATCCGTGGGTTCCTCTTGTTCTCTCCTCTGCAGCTCCTCAGGGGTCGCTCTCTCAGGGAACTTGATCTCGACGTTGTGCTGCGCCTGGATGCCTTGTACATTAGAGCCCCTCTGGCCCATGACCGTGCGGTGGTGACGTTGAGGGATCACCACATCAACGCTCACCTGTCAAGATTAGCAGACGTCAAACTAACATAAATATCATCTAATAACAACTAGAGTGCCGTGGTGGCGTTGAGGGATCACCACATCAACGCTCACCTGTCAAGATTTGCTGACGTTGAACTAACAAATATCCAGCTCATAAACATCAGGGAGCGACGATATAATTTACCTAGAAATTATCAGACGTCAAACTAACCAAAATATTTCATAACAATCGGGGTGCGGTGGTGATAATGAGGGTTGACCAAACGCTCACTTATTAAGATTATCAGACGTTAAACTAACATAAATATCATCTCATAACTATCAGGAAGCGATGGTTAAGTTGAAGGTTGACCAAACGCTCACTTATCAAGATTAGCAGATGTTAAACTAACATAAATATCATCTCATAACTATCAGGGTGCGGTGGTGACAATGGGGGTTGACCAAACGCTCGCCTATCAAGATTAGCAGAAGTCAAACTAACATAAATATTCACCCCCCCATGTCCTGACTAACGCGAAGCGAGAATCGGAATAAATAAATAACAAAATTAGCATGGAGCTGGATGGCATCAAGGTTTGGATATTGACTTCATGCATATATGAATAAGACTTGGCGAAAGAGCTTCAAGAATGCACTAAGACATTGAAATAATTATGTATTCATCACTTTGAATATGACAAGGTGGTAATTTCAATTTATGTTTACATGGGGCGAAATTAATAGCATTCTAAAAAATAAATTAATATCATACATTTCAATAACATCACAAGACTTATTTCCATCTTTCGTGCGGGAAGAAAATGAGCTGAAATGGTTCATTACTAGAAAGTCAATTGCGGATTGTCTACATAAATATCAATGTACCAACCTGAGATTCAAGATCGTTCACAATTTCCAGAATGCGAGCTTTGGCTCCAGCCACACACTCAACACCTCCTTTGATGGTCACCTGAAACGATGGAGTTTAGTGAATTTAGTTTAGTTTAGTGAATCTATTATTATAAATATCAAAACTGTGAGGCAGATGGTAAGAATTACAGCCGCGTTCTAGACAATCTTCAAGAAAAAAAAAATACATCATTGAAGCATAACGAGAATAAATTTAGTAGACAATCCTAAAACGATCACATGTGTGCATATTAAGTAAGCCTGACTGCTGGCGCTCATTGCTGAGCTCCACGAGCATCATCTTGGCTTTCTGCACGTCTTCCTTAGGCCCACGAATGGTGACCTGGGCAACAGAATACTCATATTTATACATTCTTATATACAAATATAAGAAGAAATATAATACTTGAATCCGAAATAATAACACTTAAAAACCTAATTCCAACTTTACATTTGACAACGTAAATTTTTTTCATATTTCCAGTAAAAAATCATATATGAAAAAATTATTTTAACTGCAAATCATCTCCGAAATAATACCACATTACAGGATTTTAAAAACACCGACAAAATATAGCTAAACAGCACAAATCAAAATCCAAAGACACTGGAAAATAATGGTGCAGGTCTGACCTTATCAGACTGTTTATCAGCAGGCGGAAATCAAAATCCAAAGACACCGGAAAATAATGGTGCAGGTCTGACCTTATCAGACTTTTCATCAGCAGGCGGAAATCAAAATCCAAAGACACTGGAAAATAAAGGTGCAGGTCTGACCTTATCAGACTTTTTATCAGCAGGTGGGAACTTGATGGTAACGCCACCACAGTCCTCACTGATGCTGCGGATCAGGCGACCTCGCTGTCCGATGATCGAGTTGTGGAACTTAGCAGGCACCATGATGTCCACCTCGACGATGTTTGCCTGCAACCAGAAATTATTAGCATGATCAATACAAATACTTACAAAGGCTACATTTTCATGGAGCGATGGAGGAAACATTAAGAGATTTGATTTGATTCTACGTGCCTTGCCTATACATCCTCAACAAGATAGGCATGTCTTACATGTTCCATTATTAGGATGATCAATAAAAATACTTACAAAGACTACATTTTCATGAATGAATGAATGGAGGAAACATTAAGAGATTTGATTTTGATTCTACGTGCCTTGCCTCTACATCCTAAACAAGATAGGCATGTCTTACATGTTCCATTATTAGGATGATCAATAAAAATACTTACAAAGACTACATTTTCATAAAGCGATGGAGGAAACATTAAGAGATTTGATTTCAATTGTATAATGGATCCATTCAGGAGCTACACAAATGGTGTGCTTAAAACACAAGTTTCTGGCGTTAATAATGTTCAGATGTTTAAATAGCCAGGAAATGTTTCCAAAATATTGACAATTACGAACAACATTGCTAGATACAACATATTAATATTTCCTAGACTCGAAAAAATGAGATTGCAATGATGTAAGGAAATGTCAGAAATAAAAATGGAAATGTCGGACATATTCTAGCAAGTGCACCTCATCCTGGAAAAGAAAGACTCACCAATTCCTCTTGTATTTCATGGATGCGCTGCTTGGCCTTCTCACAGTTCTCCTTGCGGCCGATTATGATGATCTCATCGCTGCCCTGGTCGTTCGAGGTGAGGTCAATGCGCGTGTTCGTTTCTGCACGAATCTGTGGACAGAAAAAAATTTGTCTTCAACCAGTCAAACTTAATTAATATAAATGACTAGGTTGATGTCTAGCAAATTTTATTTAACAGGTGTCTTAGAATGAGCGGTTAGGAAGGAACATAATAGACATGATCCATTAAAATTCCATTGACAATGCTGTTAAAATCATTAATACAGTCAGCAACAAGGAAATGACAGCTAGAAAATCATGAAAAAAAGTTTTCAGAATAATTAATCAACACTCCGAGTATATCGAAGAATGGAATTACTGAACAGAGGAAGAGAATTTCTGTGGTTGATCTAGGACTAAGAGAAACAACTGACCTTGTTAATGTTGGCTCCACTCTTGCCGATGATGAACTTGAGGAATTGTTGGAATATGGGCACCTTGATCTGATAGTTATCCTCGAGCAGCTCCTTCACAAGCTTCTGCAGGTGCTTGTAGCAAGCATCAACGTCCTCCTTGGGGCCGCGGATCTTGACAATATCGTTTTTCTGGCCTGAATCTGGCAACGAAATCTGGACCTGATTGAACTTTTCTCTGATCTCCTTGATTTTTTCTCCTTTGGTGCCAATGATGCTGCGGTGCAGACGATGCTCGATGATGATGTCCCGCTCCTTCTCATTTTCCATCTTCTTGACGAGCTCAAGCAGCTCTTGCTTGCCCTGAGCAACGGCTTCTGGGGAACCTTCTAGCCTGATCACGTTGCCATTTGGCTCGATGTTGATTATGACGTTGGTTTCGTTTCTGATGCGGTTGATGTTAGCGCCGGATTTACCAATAATGTGTTTATGGAACTTTGGGTCCACAATTATCTGATCTTGAGTAAGGCGAGACATCATTTCCTTGATCATAGAGTCGAGCCTCTCACAGGCTTTCACCACCTCATCAAGGGGTCCTTCAATCTTGATAATTTCCCCCTTGTCAGTGAACTCCACGTGAACCTGAGGGAAATCCTGGGTGATCTTGTTAATATTAGCTCCTTTACGCCCGATGATGTAGCGGTGGAGCCAAGCAGGGGCAGTGATCTCTCTCTGTACCATGCTGTTTGCCTTGTCGTAAACCATCGTCAGTGCGCTGCCAAGCTTATCTTGGGTTCCTCGCAGCGTAATAGAGGCCGAATTGGAGTCCTGAGGAGGCATTTCTACACTCACATTGAACTTCTGCAAAATCTCTGCAATGTTGCAGCCTCGATTGCCGATAACGTACTTGTGCTGGTTCTTGGGCACCTCCACCGAGACAGTCTGGCATTTAGCCTCCATATCACGGTAAGTTTTGTTGATTATCTCCTTGCACTTGAGAACGTTGTCCTTCTCACCAGTGATGGTGAGTTCATCCTTCATGACACTCACTGGAGGCACGTTGATCCTTACTCCATATTCGGCCATCAGGTTAGCAATGGTGCTGTTGTTGGCACCGCACACAAATGGATGGTATATCTTAGGAATTTCTACGACCTCATAAGCCTGCTTACTCTGCTCGTCTGAAATGATGCGAATTTCATGCAATGCTTTGTCGATGCTCTCCTTGGTTCCGCAAATGGTGACAACATCAGAAGGATCATTGGCAGGAGGCACTTGGATCTTAGTAGAGCTGCTCAACTCGAGGTCCTGAAGTTTCTTACCCTTCTTGCCAAGCAGGAACTTGTGGTGCTCCTGAAATAATATTATACTCTTAACTTTGCTCTAATTCTAACAACAAATTGAATTAAAACGAGACAAATTAGAAAATATATATTATACATATACATAAATAGAGTTGAATATATAATTGATTTACTCATTCGAGTAAAAAATACTAGTGTAATGTGTATCATGTAAAGCTGATGCTAAAGTATGAGATAAGTTCCATCAAATTTCACTAAAGGTAAAGTAAGAAATTACCTTGGGGATTTTGATGGTCTGACGCATCTGAGCTTGGAACTTTTCAAGCACAAGTTTTCGAGCCTTGGCAACCGCATCAGATTTTCCCGTAACCAAGAAAGTTAGGCTGTGATCCTTTGCAGAGGAAATTTCGATGTGAGCGCCGGTCTTTTTGGTGATGTCCGCACAGATGGAAGATGAGGCAGACTCACCAAACTGGTTGTTCCCATCAATCTTTGCTCGCTCTTCATGACGAACGTCAAATACCTAATGAAGGAAAATAAATCATTTACATATGAAATGAAACCTGTTGAATATTAAATGAATGCTTGAAATACCCATTTTCATTTTACTAGATCTCAGCACGTACAATTTCATTAATGTGCAACAATAGTAAATGTTGACTAAAGCTAAGAGATATGGTATGCATCACAATCATAGGTCCAAAACTCAAGAAGTGAAGAGTTATTGAGGAATCTTGCACACTAGCATTAGGATTGTAACACAAAACCGAACACCTTAGCCAGCTGCTAGCTTGAGTCACGGAAGAAACCTGGGTCAGAATTTATGACAAACCTGAGTCACAATATAGGACAAACCTGAGTCACAATATAGGACAAACCTGGGTCATAATTGAGGACAAAAAGTCACAAAGGGACAAACCTGAGTCACAATAGAGGACAAACCTGAGTCAAAATTGAGGACAAACCTGAGTCACAATAGAGGACAAACCTGAGTCACAATAGAGGACAAACCTGAGTCACAATAGAGGACAAACCTGAGTCACAATTGAGGACAAACCTGAGTCACAATTGAGGACAAACCTGGGTCAAAATTGAGGACAAACTTGTCAGAATTAAGGACAAAAAGTCACCAAAGTGGACCAACCTGAGTCACAATAGAGGACAACAAACCTGAGTATAATTGAGGGCAAAAAGTCACATGAGGACAAACCTGAGTCACAATAGAGGACAAACCTGAGTCACAATAGAGGACAAACCTGAGTCACAATAAAGGACAAACCTGGGTCAAAATTGAGGACAAACTTGTCAGAATTAAGGACAAAAAGTCACCAAAGAGGACAAACCTGAGTCACAATAACAGACAAACCTGAGTCACAAAGAGGACAAACATGAGTCACAATAGAGGACAAACCTGAGTCACAATAGAGGACTGGATGCGCATAGCGTCGTTGTTGCGAGCTGCCGCACCCCAGCCTCCGCTCTGAGCCGTGGCAGCAGCGCTGGGGATGTTCGTTGTCATGAAGGAGTTGAGGCCATCGCCGCTGATCTTCAGAGCGGGAAACAACTGATGGAACAAAATTACATTAGAAATTTTTTGTTGAAACTTATTTCAAGTACCAGGAAATAGAGACATTCAAAGGTTAAGTACTAAGCTGCAATTATTTTAAGCAGTCAAACAGTTTGCCAATAAACTTTATGAATTTTATTTAAAACATTTAGTATTTACCCTGTTAAAACTAGTGCAATACACTCGTAAATAGAACTAAGAAGCAAAAATTTCTCAAATGTTACCAAAGGCATAATCATATCAAGAAGATGATACTGATTTCAGCAAAACTCATCTCTAATTGCATATGATTCCAGAGCAACAGAAGACATTTCATGCTTATTCTCTGACAATTCCTCACAATCCATTATCAATTTAGCTTTACATTCATATAACATACGGTTTAATACAGAGCTAGAACCAAGTAAGGTTATCCTATTATAATTCATAACATGCAATAAGATATTCAAGAATATGAACTCCATTATAAAATAAGGTAAGTGGCATTTCAGTGTAAATTCAAAGAAGTACAGGATTAGGACAAAAAGAAAATTTGATATGGCTTCTGGATGGTTTTCAATAAAAATCAGTTAGCTAACCTGATCATAGGTAGGAGCCGGCTTTTCAATTATGGGGAGAGAGGGAGCTGCAACATCTATGCTGCCGCATTCCACTGAGTTCAAACCAAGGGAGTTGTTAGGTGGAGTTGCATCAGTGTCATCCATTGGGGGCTGGATGACACTGCACACCACCTCATCATTAGAGCCCATCACTGCTTGCTGCATTATCGTCTGGTCCATTGTGAGTGCTGAGTCGTTACAGTAACACTGCACAAATTCAAATCATATGTGAATTAAATTGTTTTAACAGCAAAATTACAAATACAATCGAATTACATGTGTTACAGTTGATGTTGTTTTACAGTAATGGATAAAAGACTGGTATCATATATACATTATTGATGACCTAAGCATGATGGACGACTTGCCTCAAACAGTAATGTAAGGCATGGAATCATCAGCTCTATGTTAAACTAACACATTGAGTTGTTTGAATTGAAGTCTCTGAAGACACCGACTATTTTTAACGCACTATTTGTATCTAACAGCCAAATTTAAAAAAAAAAGTTAGCTACTGTCATCAAAAGTTTAAAGATAAAATATACTAGGAAATACAAACAAACAGAAAATGAGGTATCATTTAAATTAATTGAAAATAAAATAATTCAATCTGTTTAAATTTTAATTAATATTGCCACTGTCTTTTCAGCCACCCAGATAAGGATGAATTGAAAATTTTATTCAATCAAAGTAGAAAAACGGCATGCAATACCAGAAGGTCAACCTTAATTGATTGAACCAATGAAGTCATTTGTTGTCATCAGCCATTATATAATGGTATATTATTAAATTCAAATAAGTTGAAGATATTTCCAATTCATTGACAGCACATGGGACTGATAGATAAAGATTCAACTGTACAGAACTTTTCAGAAATCCATAGCATTTAGCTCTATTCAAAATCATAGTGTCAAAGTCCTGTTGCTAGGTTGGGAGCTATCAAGACATTGTAAAAGGATAGTTTGCTTGTCATTTTCAGAGTTGAAAACATTTACACAAGGAAAATTATATTATGTCTATTTATTTAATTTTTTTTTTTAAATTGATTCACATTGAAAGCCAAAAAATTTTAGTAATAAGTTCAATTTCTTAATTTGAAAGCAGAGCAAATTCTTTTACCAAATGATCTGTTGTGTATCTTTTAACAAGAATCTAGCTAAAAACTAAAGTGCATTGCACTTTGGCTCGAAAATGAATTGATAACAACCCTTTACCCTTGGTCAAGAAGGTGTAGCCTAGATATTGGCAAAATTTTCTAGCATAAATCAGGCTCCATTGTAGTGAATTTGTCAATTATAACTACTATATTATTGATAAACTCATCATAAACACAATGCATTTTCCAGATTTTGGGCTAAACATTTCACAAGTACACAATTTTGCATCAAGGTGCTTTCCCCATAAATACCTAACTTATATGCTACACTGGTTGATGTTTTCAATGTAAAATACTGGCTCATAAGGTCAATTATCCTGTTTTTGTGTTCCAAAACATTTCTATTCATTCACCTGTTTATCACTAGACTGCACACTAACAGTTCATGTGATTTATGATGTGAAACCGTTAAATTTTTTTTCTCAATCTTCATAAATTAGAATTCTATTTCTATGAAGACAATATATCTCACAGAAATGGTGACACTTGGGAGAATATCTTCTAATATACATCAGCTGCTCAGCACCAGCAGAAATTATAGGTTCTATCTCCAAGGCAAATTTTCTTAAGCATAGAGTACAAGCTTGCACTTTTTAAAGCATCATAAAAACATCTAATGATAAACTAATCAAAAAACTTATGAACACAGATGACACTGACAGATGCGTCATAAAACTATTATGCAATGGCTAAATATTTTATATTATAGAGTTAATAAGTATCATTTGCAGAAATAATCATAGATGAGACTAAAGATAACTCCAGGCTTGAGGTTAGGAACTTCAAGCTTAAGCTTTGTCGACTGTCGTGCTGTGCGAAGAAGCTTAGTGAAACGACTACAAGTACAAGTGTCCACAGTCCATACTCCATTGAACATTCATCAATACTCAATAGCATAGTGGCAAAGCAGAGAGTTTTTTAGACTCTCCCTCAAGTTCATTTGTGAGTCCTATAAGTAGACCAGTAAAGTATCCTGGATACCAGCAGTATCATACATAAGAAATTGATTTAAATCTTGGGTAAATGAGGAAATTAAAAATGAGCTGATTCTAAAAAATCTGTGGTTTGCCACTATGCCCTTTGTATTATAGAGTTAATACGTATCATTTGCAGAAACAATCATAGTATTCATAGATGAGACCAAAGATAACTCCAGGCTTGAGGTTAGGAACTTCGAGCTTAAGCTTTGCCGTGCTGTGTAACGAAGAAGCTTAGTACAAGAAGAAACCTTCGCAAAGGCCAGTGCAGCGCACGTGTGGAAGAGTGTTTCATCAGGAATCTGACTACAAGTGTCCACAGTCCATTGAAGTGATTGAACATTCATCAATACTAGTCAATACGAATCCAAATCAATAGAAGCACACTTGCCTTTAACTCGTCTACTCTTATTTCAGTAAACTGTAATAATGCATGAAAACTTTACTCATCTGACAACTTTAAGTTCTTGAAAGTTACAATAAACAAAGCTGACTCCTGAGCTCGGAGTCGACGTGTTGGACGTAAGAACATATGGTAATTTGGTAAATCTTATATCAATCGTAGTAACCGCAAGATAGATATAAATAAATTTTTAAAAGTTACCTCGAGTAATCATTCAAATGAACATATAACAAAATGAATTCAATTGATCGTGGATTAGAATCTAAGTAAGGGAAATTCTTAGTACTTGGGTACATTCATCCGGCAATCTACGTGGCACCCAAGCCTGGGCCGAAAGTTTGTGAACTCACTTGACTGTTGCCGGGAGATCCGTCCGAAAGATGAAGGTCGCTCCGATACCTCCAGCTTAGATGATTTTTCTGAAAAATAGATTACAATTTTGAGTACATGTAATCAAATTCTTAGGAATATTCACTCAATTATTAAGCACAATCAAGGTTGGGAGCAGCGTACACATCCTTTACCTTCCACCTCACGGAGTGAAATGCTGGCTGGCTCAGGTACCAACCGTACAATATCATGAGAAAGCTAACAATCCATGCTGGTGATTACAAACAACAAATAAAAATATTTCGAGTTTCAAACTAAATTCATGATAAGTAATTAACAGAGCTAAATTTACACATAAACACAAAACATTCCAGTACATTGATATATATGAACAATTATCAAAAAGCATGTTTGCCAACCTTACAATCACACTTCGAAAAGGAAAAGCGGACACGCAGGAACTACGTAGCACACAAACAAAACACGATCAAGTGAAAATTTACTCTCATGGATGATTTTTTAATTTCTTATAGAATATTGCAGAGTCGGTAATAAACAGTTTTTACATCATTAAAGAAGGACTTTCCCATGTGGAAAATTATTTTTTTACCGGTAGTGAAACTTGATACTTAATTTTGTCGTTGTATATCTCACTGTATGTGAAATCAAATTACATTATATTGATTGAAATTGACGAAGTAAGGGAAGTTTGATTTATAAAAGATTACAAATGTTTTGTATATTTTTTAATGCAATGCTGGAACTACATTCAACCAAAAATTATTTATACACGAACAGAATTTTTTCCGCTCCAGTACTCTAGGGTGCAAAAAAAAAAAACATTTCAAGTTAAATGGAGATTAATTATTTACTGACGAGATAGTAATGTTATTCGGTTTCTTTGTTTCTATACCTTACATAATTTGTTATACGGAACAATAGAAATTTATCGACTCATTGATGTTTTCCCTGCCTAGATGACAAACATCTGTCTCTGGGACCTTATCTCTGTATCGAATCGATAAAAATTTTCTGTAATGATTTATCTCATTGGGCAATGAAGGACTCGTATTAATAATTTATCTCTCAAGAGCAAATGTTGTTCGCTCTTATCAAGACCAAACTCACAGCACTGAAGGCCATTAAGCAATTCGTCTTCTTCATGTCATTTCGATCTACGAAAATTTAATTTATTATAACGTAAATCGTTACTTGATTAAGGACTTAAGTGATGAATAAGTATAATAAAATGTAACGGGTGATCTTCTGATATAAGTTCCTGGTGAAATCAATCAAATACCGGAATTATTCAGAGGCATGATAAATCAGAAAATAATTAGAGGTATTCCATCCCATCATCCCACATTTGCAGCTCTTTGAGGTATGCAATGCCAACATCCCACATTCGTAGCACATTGAGGTATTCAATGCCAACATTCTACATTCGCAGCACATTGATGGAGGTATGCCATCTCAACATCCCACTTTCGAAGAACATTAATAGATTAACATGATCATTATTCGGCCTAATGCATTGGCATGAGACCTTAGCTCAAACTAAACTCACGACCCATCATTGTAATCTTGACCTAACTTGTATATATCATATGTAAATAGAAAAAATCGAATCAATGCCTAAATTATTCATAGTTATATAGCGATGATTAAACATGAATGTTAAACAAAGTCAATTTTCCGAACAATGAACTAAAATCCAAGCGCAATAAAAATAAATATAACTCCAACTTAATTTTATGAATTTATTTTTTATTTGTACTTCTAATAATTTCATTTATTTTTAGTTTATTTCATTACATTCACTTTATGAATTTGTACTAATGTCCGTACGTGCTGAGTTGTCTAAACGCTGTTATATTATTGTCACTTGATGTGACAGTCTCTTTGTTCCTGCATGAGTTACAAAGTATTTGTAACTCTTCTTTGTCCGTATTTAGTGAAGAAAGTTTATTTAAGCAGCTAACGTGAAGTGTGGGTTTGATACCAGCTTCCTGTTACAGTTCTGCTCGGAATTGACTAGGCGGCTGGGTGGTTTATAACAACTTGATTATAGCCCTGAGTTGTGGGTTCGAAACCCCAACAAGTCGTATAAATTTTTATGTGTCACGAATAGACGACAGGCCAGATTTGGCCTATTCGAATTATACTATTAATTATTTATACTGCGAATTGAGACAGGAGTTCTTTGATCACATTTTGATCATCTGTACGGAGCGTACATTATGTACAGTGTTCCGCAGAAGTTGTTCTGTAATGCAGTTTTCATTGAAGACTGGCGAGCATTTCTTATTATTTTTCTATATTCTCTGAATTATGGTTTTGATAGGATTTGAAAATTAAAATATATGGTTTCCAATGGAAATTTCATTATAATTTATGACGTACCGAATGTAACTACATTCATTATCAAGTAGTGGAAGAGTTCTGCAACATTTTATCAAGTAGGGGAAGAGTTCTGCTGTTTTACAACAGTAGGGGAAGAGTTCTGCAATTTGAAATTTTAATTAAATAATTCGCCTAAAAGGAAAAAACAATAAGAAAATTGACAATAAGAAATTTTCTCTGGTCTTCAATGAAACCTGCACTATGCACAGTATACGCACACTGTCGCACAGTGCACGCACCGAGTGTATATAATGAGTTCTTATTAGATGAGATGTTGTCTCATATGATTAAATGATCATAGTTTATACAAAAAATTTCATGAAATGGCAAACTAATAATTCTACACAGGTCAAACTATACGCACTATACATATTTTTGTACACACATGCTTGTTAGTGCCTTGGTATGTGTTTATTTAATTATACTGTGAACGGAGTATTCTTTGATCGGAGTATTCTTTGTTATACTGTACGGAACTTACATTATGTACAGTGTTCCGCAGAAGTTGTTCTGTAATGCAGGTTTCATTAAAGACCCGCGAGCATTTCTTATTGACAATTTTTTTTTTATTATTTTTCTATATTATGCAAATTAGGTTTTTGATAGGATTTGAAAATTAAAATATATGGTTTCCAATTGAAATTTAATTATAATTTATGACGTACCGAATGTAACTACATTCATTATCAAGTCGTGGAAGAGTTCTGCTACATTTTATCAAGCAGGGGAAGAGTTCTGCAATTCTGCAACAGTAGGGGAAGAGTTCTGAAATTTGAAATTTTAATTTAATAATTCGCTTAAAAGGAGAAAACTATAAGAAAATTGCCAATAAGAAGTTTTCTCTGGTCTTCAATGAAAGCTGCACTATATATGCACATTATACGCACCGAGTGTATATAATGAATTATTATTAGATGAGGTATTGTCTCATATGATTAAATGATCATAGTTTATACTAAAAATTTCATGAAATGGCAAACTAATAGTTCTACACAGGTCAAACTATACGGACTATACATATTTTTGTACACACATGCTTGTTAGTGCCTTGGTATGTGCGGTGAATAAACCTGTATAATGGGTTCATGTCACATTAGGATCGACGATATACAAGTCAAGATTTAGAGTTTATATTCATAAAGTAAAAAAATTCATGAAATGGACCAATAATAATGGAGTTCTAAAATCTAAGTTAATACACCTCAATTTAAGTTCGGCTATTTACAGGAAAGCAATCATCAATTTCCCGATCAAAATACACGCGTAGTTTGAAGGCTTATATACTCTTAAAAATTCATGTTAATTCAATATAGCAAACGTTTTGGTAACTGAGTGTACAATTGTCATATACATTGAAAGCAATCAAAGTCAACATAATCATCGATGAAGATCAAAGTACGCTTGTCAAGCGCAACCTTGGGACTGTGATTAGAATCTTCTTGCACGGTGTCTGTACCAGTTCCTGATACCGACAACAGACATCATAGTTCATCTTTCTAATAACCCTCTTGTAATTGTATTAAAATTATATCTAAGAATGCATCTAATTCATTCAAAACCAACCTAAAGAGTGAGTAATGTTCATGGAATGACATAATTGCAAATGAATTGAAGTCCAGCCCATCCGGAGCATTTAGTCATTGCTGAAATATTATGATAAATGTGCTAAGTAATAGAAATCCCACATTAATAGTGAAAGCAGTTAAATGTACCGTGAGCAATGTAGCCGTGATCTCATGGCAGTTTCAATGCGCTTCTCGGGGTACAATGTTAGTTAGGTGACCAGTCATAGGTGTGAAGTTGGGCAGGAGGGTGTGCGACATATTGCGGTCCAGAGCGGATGTTTGTAACAGCAAAGTCTGTATTGCGATGCTCTAGCCGTTGATTTAAACTTAAAATTAGAAACATGATAGTGTTATTGATATTCACTTTTGCTGTGGCAACAGTGTTATGGTTTGCCATTCAGTCTTTGATAGAGTTTCCTTCAAAATCAAGAAACGTGAACCCGGCCTACACTCCTTCAGGTACGAATTGTGTACGTCGTTCATCGGTATCCCGCTCTTAACATTTGTTAATTTATTTTCATCTTATTAGATTAGTCTCGACAATTTTATAACTAAAAGGGACGATGATTTTAATAATATTTAAATAATAAATATGTGCTCAACTGGATAAAGTAGTGTAGTGTAAGTAACCTCCTCCATGTGAGTTTAACTTTGTTAATTAAGTAAGCAACCGCGGCGCATGACGAACTACGTTCGTTAGTCACGTGTTCAGAATCGGCGAGTGGTGAGTGCTTGTTTCCGTGAAAGTTATGATATACGCGCGGGAAATAATTTGAATATCCAGCAATTAGATTATTGCTGCAAAATTTGAAAATCATTGTAGACATTTGCCGCTGAATGTGAGTTAGATTTTGATTTAATTTTATTTGAAAAATTATTTTCAAAGAAGTTTAAACGAAACCCTAAACTATCTGATCGTTTCAAATCCGGTCGGAACCACGGACCTCTGAAGTTCTGAACAGTTCCGTGAAGGATGAGTTAATCATGAGTATTTATAGTTAGTAATTATGAAGCTTAACGAGTGCAATAATTTTAGAAGTGATACCTCACAATTATGTGGACAATGTATGTGCACTGCCTTGTGTCGTCAGCAATACCGTCGTTTCCAATCGATTTCGTATAAGTAGTGTATACAGACACCACTCACACCAGTGTTGCCGCTCTCGTACAATTCCAATGAATAATCACAATTTCTATTCATAGAAAAAATGAAGCCTCGGTCTGGAAAGCAGTTAAGGAAAAACGTTTGACACGAAATCTATTCAAAACATTTAATAATTTGCCGTGACTTAGAACAGTTGGTGTTACTTAATTTCGTAAATGTCAAATATATCGATACAATTAACTTTAATGTTAAACAGAAGATCTTTTAGTTACGTTATTTAAATGCAAACCTTAAGAATTAGGTCTCTTCTGGACCCAGCATTGGTCGCAAAAAAAAAAAAAAAAAATACAGCAATAACTTTGAATTTGATTTGTTTCGAATTACACTTGAACCGTCAGTTACATTGTTGAAGCCGTTGCTTGCATTGAGCCGCACACTTAAGTTTCTGGTTGCAGTTGATGTGAGTTTGTTGTTTGTTTGTTTGTTTGTGCGATTATCCCGGTACAATTTTGTTCATTGGTAATCACGATACGTGTGTGGGGCGTGTGTTAGGGGCACTCACTCAGAATTGCAATTGAAAGTTTAAAACTAACTGCATGTTTGTTGCGAACTAATGCTGATAAACAGTAGAAGTTGTCCCCCAGGACTACTCCGACAAATGAATTTCTATCAAGTTCTCATGAGTTATTTTCTTCTATTCGGTTATTTGCTATTATAAGATGAATTACTTTTCACTTTGAAGTATTACGTATATAGTTTGTTTGAAATATTTGATATTCATTGAAGAAGTAAGTATCATATAGTAAACACGTATCGTATTTACTATGCACTTATTTTATTGATTTCTGGGATTTATGATCCTGTTAACAAATCCTGTCACTTAATTCAATTTTTAATGTGAATTTTTTCATGTTTTCTTCATCTTCATTGGAATCATTCGTTTTGAACTTGTTGAATGATTTATAGTCTCATAATATTAACGCTCAGTATAACTATTCCATAATGAAAAGATTAAAATTCAATTCGACTAAGTTGCGTAAACCAGTTACAGTTACAACAGGATAGCGCTTATCCATCTGTAAAAATTGTATAGTATCGTATATCACACTGGTGTAGCACTTGCGTTTATGATATATACAGCACTCAACACTCTAAACAACACTCAACACTCTACTTTCAGCACTCAACACTATAGTCAGCTCTCAACACTCTATGTACAACACTCAACACTCAATACAATACAGTACTCAATGTTCACTCTATATACACGCGTCTACAGCTCTCAACACTCTATATACACGCGTCTACAGCTCTCAACACTATATATACACGCGGCTACAGCTCTCAACACTATATACACGCGTCTACAGCTCTCCACACTCTATATACACGCGTCTACAGCTCTCAACACTATATATACACGCGTCTACAGCTCTCCACACTCTAAATACACGCGGCTACAGCTCTCAACACTATATGCAGCACTCAACACTCTATATACAGGGTGACACAAAAAAAACAGAGCTCATAAAAAGTTGAATAATTTCCACAATACTCAAGTAATCCTGTTATTTGTTTCAGATTCATTAAGAAGACGGATTGATCTAAGAGTCTACCACGTGTGAGCTTCGAGATGCCTTGGACTACAGAGCAAAAGACATTTGCAGTTGAGACATATTTAACACTCTATATACAGCACTCAACTCTCTATATACAGCACTCAATACTCTATATATAGCACTCAACACTATATACAGCACTCAACACTATATACAGCACTCAACACTATATATACAGCACTCAACACTCTATATGAACACGCTGTGTGATCATTTAACAAACAAATGTTAACTAGAGCGCGGCCTTCTCTCGCATCAAACAGTGAAACTCGTTGTTGCAGCGAACACTATACCTATTCATTACAGACTCCCATTACAATCATTTTTTGATAGACACATTCCTTGTGAATAAATCGTTATTGCTGAAATCTTTTACAATCATCAGTAATGGTTAACATTATATCTGGCTTTTTATGTGCGCATAAAGTATGAGCTGTTCATTCTTGTTAGTTTAGTCCAAATCTTTTATCTCCAGGCCTAAATATGCGATTAGGTTAGTAGCATCTATTAAAATCTCATTACTGCCCAGATAACTGCCCAGCATGTTTAGATAAGACAGATGACATGCACGGCTGAAGAGGTTTGTTCCATTTACGTGCATCTGGCACGTAGTCCCTCTTATCTCTGCTGTAACATGACCGTGCAATATACTGTCTCCAGGGGCATTCACTGTATCCAGGGGCATTCACTGTCTCCAGAGGCATTCACTGTCTCCAGGGGCATTCACTGTCTCCAGGGGCATTCACTGTCTCCAGAGGCATTCACTGTCTCCAGGGGCATTCACTGTCTCCAGAGGCATTCACTGTCTCCAGGGGCACTCACTGTCTCCAGGGGCATTCACTGTCTCCAGGGGCATTCACTGTCTCCAGGGGCATTCACTGTCTCCAGAGGCATTCACTGTCTCCAGAAGCATTTACTGTCTCCAGTGGCATTCACTGTCTCCAGGAGCATTCACTGTCTCCAGTGGCATTCACTGTCTACAGTGGCATTCACTGTCTTCAAGGGCATTCACTGTCTCCAGTGGTATTCACTGTCTCCAGTGGCATTCACTGTCTCCAGGGGCATTCACTGTCTTCAAGGGCATTCACTGTCTCCAGGGGCATCCACTGTCTCCAGGGGCATTCACTGTCTTCAAGGGCATTCACTGTCTCCAGGGGCATTCACTGTCTCCAGTGGCATTCACTGTCTTCAAGGGCNATCTTACGAAACTAATCAGAGTCAAATTAATAACGAGTAAGAATAAAATCGCGGAATTTAGTCTTCAAACTGAATTTAGAACAATTGATTTTAAAATCATCAGGTAATTCATTAAAATATTTCACACAATTAAAAACTGTACCGTTTCTTTCAATTTCCAAACGAACCGGTGGCAAGTTAAAACGCATGCCCCTAGTGTCATGGGAATGTAGGGGCTGTCTCTTATACACATCTAGAGTTCTGTTTTACTGATAATATTGCTGTTGTAAGTTCCTAATGCTGCAGGTTCTAGAGTTCTGTTTTACTGATAACATTGCAGTAAGTTCTTAATGCCGCAGGTTCTAGAGTTCTGTTTTACTGATAACATTGCTGTAAGTTCTTAATGCCGCAGGTTCTAGAGTTCTGTTTTACTGATAACATTGCAGTAAGTTCTTAATGCTGCAGGTTCTAGAGTTCTGTACGCACTGCGTGTGGTGTGGTGGGCTGTGGTGGTATGGCTTCACCAGAACAACCGGCAGCGGAGGCTCAACAATTATCGGTGAATAACTAACATTAGTGAATAATAATTAAAAATTTATTGTAATGAATTTTAATGAATGAATTTTATTATAATGATTACAAGTTCATTCACAAATTTTGTTTGAATACATGATTTTAAATCCAAAATGTATAGTAAAAGCCGTCATGTTTTTCTAGCGTTTTATTAATTTTATTTATGTATTGCAAAATACATTGATATGAATTATATATTTTTCTATTATTCATATATATTCATATATTACCATATGTGATGGGGCCCATGCACTCGAAAAAATTAGGGGACTTTTGTATTAATTGTGAGTCATTCTGACCCATTTGGGCCCCGCCAAAGAGCGTATCAGTGCTACGTCCATTTTTTGCTTGGCGGTGGGTAAGATATGTGTTTATATAACCTACAATTATGTAGGTTATATAAATTATGTAGGTTATATTATGTAGGTTATATTATAACCTACAATTATGTTATAATATAACCTACAATTATGACAATACCGCTGACAATATAAGTCCTAACCTAACCTAACCTAATATATATGTGTTTCATTATTTAGACAATGTGAGCCACTAACATTTGTGAGTGTGGCTGGCATCGTTTGGACAATGTGAGCCACTAACATTTATGAGTGTGGGCGGTGGGTAAGTACGTGTTTCATTATTTGGACAATGTGAGCCACTAACATTTGTGAGTGTGGGCGGTGGGTAGGTACGTGTTTCATCATTTAGACAATGTGAGCCACTAAGATGTGTGAGTGTGGGCGGTGGGTAAGTACGTGTTTCATTATTTGGACAATGTGAGCCACTAAGATGTGTGAGTGCTGTAGGTTGCGTAGTCGTGACCACCGCTACTGCGGCCTGACGCCCACGCCGGAGGAGACGCTGCTGGAGGCGCCCGCCCCGCTCACCACTGACAGGGTGAATAATTAGAGAATTATTCATTTTGATGAATATTAAGCCAGTAATTAAATAATTTAAGGATGTTATTCATGAAAATTAAGTCAGCAACTGAATAATTAAAGGATGTTATTATTGTCAGTAATTAATTAATTAAACGATGTTATTGACGATTATTCAGTCAGTAATTAACTAATTAAACGATGTTTTTGAGGATTATTAAGTTAGTAATTAACTAATTAAATGATGTTATTCTTGATGATTATTAAGTAAGTAATTAGTATTTTTTATCTGACAGGGCGAAGAAATTCATTAGTATTATTCATTTTTGATGATTATCAAGTTAGTAATTAATTAAACGATGTTTATGATGATTATTAAGACAGTAATTAGTCATTTTTTATCCCACAGGGTGAACAGTTCATTAGAATTATTAATTAAACTACCTTTTTGATGATCATTTAGCCAGTAATTAGTATTTTTTATCCGACAGGATGAACAGTTCATTAAAATTATACATATTGATGATTATTAGGTCAATAATTAATTAATTAATTAAACGATGTTTTTGACGGTCATTTAGTCAGTAATTAGTATTTTTTATCTGTCAGGGTGAACAATTCATTAGAATTATTCATTTTGATGATTAATAAGTCAGTAATTAAATAATAAAAAATGTTATTGATGATTATTAAGTCAGTAATTAATTAATTAAACGATGTTGTTGACAATTATTAAGTCAGTAATTAAATAATTAAAGGATGTATTTTTTTGACAATTATCAAGTCAGTAATTAATTAGTTAAACCATGTTGTTGACAGTTATCAAGTCAGTAATTAGTATTTTTTATCCGACTGGTTGAGAAATGCGCTAATTAGGACAATATTGTTAGCAATTATTAACTACGAATTTAATATGTTTGGAACGTATGAGAGATGCACTAATTTTACTAATAATATGTGCCTAAGAATTATTTATTCAACTGAAGGCTATGTCCTTATTATTTATTAAGTCAGAAATTGATATGTTTTGTTATCAATAAAATGTTCTATACAATCTATAAGATAGTTGTTAGCATGAAGATTTAAATTAATAATATTCCTGTGGAAGGGGTGGCAACATTAATTGTGTCTTCATTTTAGCCGAAAATATATATCATTACACGGTTATACTAATTGCTATTATACTGATAACACTCGTGTATAACAATTGTTCTATACATTATACGCTTTTACTAATTGCTATTATCCTCATTATTAATTATACCGCGAAATTTTTTATATAATGATGATTCTCGATACTCATTTCGAACATTATATTTGAATATATAAATTTTTTGTATAATAATGATGAATCTCGTTACTCATTTTAATTTAAGCAGTAAGTAAATCTGAATATATAATTTTTTATATAATAATGATGATTCTCGATACTCATTTCGAACATTAAATGTGAATATACAATTTGTTTTTGTATAATAATGATGATTCCCTGTACTCATTTTAAAAATTAAATACGAATATATATATAATGTGTTACCACAGCACGAAGACGGGGTGACGATGTGGGGGGTGGGGGGGTCAGGACGATGTGTGTACGTGTCCATGACACGTCAGGCGCAGGGACGAGCCTCCTTCATCCTCATCGTCCGGGACACTGACGGTGTCATATATACCTTGCCTAGTGAGCTTAATAATTGTTAATTGTAATTATTATAACGATGGTGTCATTTATACCTTGCCTAGTGAGCACGTGTTATGCGCGTAGCATTATTGTTAATTAGAATTATTATAACATTTATATGATTATATTATATACATTTATATCAGAATTTGTATTTATTGTACAATTATTGTTCATTAGAATTATTATTACGGATATATGATTATATTATATATAGTTATATTAGAATTTGTATATATAAGTAATTGTTGCGTGCACGTATAATTATTGTTCATTGGAATTATTATAACGCATATATAATTATATTATATACAATTATATTAAAATTTTTATTTATTAATAATTGTCGCATGTTGATAATTGCTCTTTTCTTTGATAATTCGTTAAGCTTTTTATTTTAATTAATGACACGTCAGGCGCAGGGACGAGCCTCCTTCATACTCGTCGTCCGGGACACTGACGGTGTCATATATTCCTTGCCTAGTGAGCTTAATTATTAATTGTAATTAGTATAACGAATATTTTAATTACTATATAATACACAATTGTATTAGAATTTGTATATATGAATAATTGTCGCGTGCGCGTATAAGTATTGTTCATTAGAATTATTATTACGCATATTTAATTGTATTGTATACAATTATATTAGAATTTGTATATATGAGTAATTGTCGCGTGCACGTATTATTATTGTTCATTAGAATTATTATAAGGCATATATGATTATATTGTATACAATTATATTAGAATTAGAATTTATTAATAATATTCGCGTGCTCGTCGCATGTTGGTTGCTCTTTTCTTTGATAATTCGTTAAGCTTTTACTTCTGAATACATGATTAATTGTCATAGTTGTGACGTCTTGTTTATTATGTTTAATTATGTATAATAGTCATAATTGTGTATAATTGTCGCAATTGTGAATAATAGTCTTAATTGTGCATAGTAGTTTCAATTATGTATTATAGTCTTAATTATGTATCATAGTCTTAATTGTGTATTATAGTATTAGTTATGTATTATAGTCTTAATTGTGTATTACCCTATAGTATTTTTATGTATTATAGTTTTAATTGTCTATTATATTCATAATTATGTATTGTAGTCTTAATCATATATTATATATAGTTTTAATTGTCTATTATATTCTTAATTATGTATTATAGTCTAAATTGTGTATTTTAGTCTTAATTGTGTACTATGCCATGGTCTTAATTATGCATGATAATCTTAAATTGTCTATTATATTCTCAATTAGTATTTGTCATGCTAAAGACCAGCCTGACGGAGGGCTGCCGCAGTACAGCGGGGGCGGGTGGCGGGGTCCTGGTATAATTGTGACGTCTTATCAATTATGTTTAATTATTTGTGACGTCTTGTTTATTATGTTTAATTATGTATAATAGTCTTAATTATGTATAATAGTCGTAATTGTGAACTACGTCTTAATTGTGCATAGTAGTCTTTATTAGGTATGTATTATAGTCTTAATCGTATATTATAGTCTTAATTGTGTATTATAGTCTTAGTTATGTATTATAGTCTTAATTGTGTATTTTAGTCCTAATTGTGTACTATGGTCTTAATTATGTATAATAATCTTAATTGTCTATTACAGTCTTAATTATGTTTTTGTCATGCAAAAGACCAGCCTGACGGAGGGCTACAGCAGTACAGCGGGGGCGGGTGGCGGGGGCCGGGGGTGCTGCTGGAGTGCGTCCAGCCCATGAGGACCTGGCGGCTCCAGTACAACGGATACTTGAGGTGCCTTACTTACGCTCCTCACTCAGGAAAATGAGTGGCACTTGGTCCAAATAGCGACACATATTTGCCCTAGAGCTTGACATTCTGCTCGGCGACAAGGTGTCTCAGACTTGGTCCGAATTACGATGCACTTTTGCCCTAGCGTGGCCGCTTTCAGAAAGGTGTATCAGCGTTACATGAAGAAAGTGTGTCAATATTTGGACAAAAACTCCCATTTATTTTTCTGAGTGGTAGTTTACTTATTTTCGAAGTTTGGATCGTATTTCTCTGACGTCTTTTCTTCTGAAAAATTTCTTTTGGAAGTGTATACGAAGTATATATTGATAGTATTAAAATTCTAGTTGCATTTTGGCATTTTGACTTGCAGGTTTGAAACCATCATTGCATTTCTCAAGACGATGTCAAGAAACCTAGCCTTCACTGACAGTAACGCTCGTTACCTCATTTTTATACATGAATACCATTGATGACGGTTAATCTAATGAAAAATTATTATCATTTATTAATGAATAGGTATTATTATGCCCCAGGAAGGGCGCGAGGCATCACTACAACACCTTGCCATGTCCCGAGGACGACTCAGGCGTACAGGAGGCGCGCCTGCGCCTGGTATGGCGGGCACTGAAGGCTCCCGTGGACCTGTTCCGGGACTCCAGCCCGCTGCTGCTGGGGGCCGCCCTAGCCAGGGAGGAGGAGGCTGATATTAAGTACTTCACGTGAGTCATGCGTGGATAAGTGGGTCATGNAATAAGTGGGTCACGCGTGGATAAGTGGGTCATGTATGAATAAGTTCTTTACGTGAGTCATGCATGGATAAGTGGGTCATGCATGGATAAGTGGGTCATGCATGGATAAGTGGGTCATGCATGAATAAGTGGGTCATGTATGAATAAGTTCTTTACGTGAGTCATGCATGGATAAGTGGGTCATGCATGGATAAGTGATTCATGCATGATGCAGATCTTGAATAAACTGGTCTTACACGCTGCATATCTAAGGGTCTTACACGCTGTATGTTCTAGTCTTTGCTTCGAAAAGTGAATATTTATTGTTAGTTTATTTATTTTTATTTAATTTATTTATTTAATTTGCTAATTTATTGTAATTTTTATTGTAATTAATTGTTAATTTAATTTATTTTTATTAAATTTGTATTGTTAGTTTATGACTGAAAGGTGATTCTTTAGGTTAAATTCTTTGAAATTTAATCTCTCTCAGTTTTATTCATCGTAATGTCGATATGATTAACACATAAGAATATGCTTCGTTTCTTCTCTCATAATGAGAGGCATATTAATAATATAGAAGCATTTATTATTATAATATGAATAAAGCATATTAAGGATAATGATTATTCATATAAGGATTGGATCCTTTCCTTACATATGATATATACCTATATAAGGATATAAGAATAAACTATGTTTGCTTGCTATGCCTGGCAACAACATTATTAATGTTTGAGTTTTTTATTATAATTGGTGACTAGCGGCGCTGATAAGCGCGTGAGATAAGCGCTGGTGAGGCTCTGATAACGCCGGCCGCCGTCCAAGCTTGAGTGTCTTCTTTGTGTCTTGCTTCACGATCACTTTCTCGCCATGACAATAATGTATACGTCTTGGCGATCATTTCTTCGTTCTTATCGTTAATTTCTGCCCCTTAATGATCATTTTGGGTTCAAATTTGAGATCAATGAGAACATGGGTAGCCATTTCGTCAAACTGTATTAATTTCCTTACCCTAAGCATATTTATTTTTAGGATAATTGCCCTAAAAATCATTTGAAACTTAATCTTCGAACAAAGTGGTTTTTTCAACGCTTATGAATATTCACTGTAGGTTTACTAAGGGATGATGAAATATGTAAATATTTAAATTCTAAGACTTTTGGGTGATATCGTTGCGGGATATCCGGTAGAATTAGCATGCATCTTACGTTTACATGTGTTGGTATAAATTCTGAATAATATATTCATGGTACGTATCAACGTACTAGCTAAGTCCATTTAAATGTGTACATGAATTCTTTTCAGAAACATACTCCGAACTTTTTGTTTAAACTTTTTGTTTAAACTTTTGTTTAAAAGTTTTGTTTAAACTTTTTTGTTTAAAACTTTTTTGTTTAAAAAAATTTCTTTCATATGAAAGTTTCGATCGGGTATCTTATGCATGCAAAAAATATGAAATGCACAAATAAAGGGGAATATTTGATTTAAAAAATTTTCAGTTTTGAGGCCGTTATTTTAAAGCTCACTTGAGTACTCGTAGCTGCCTAAGTGCATGTAACGGCCCATTTCTCGTCTGTGATTGGCGGGCTTAGTTTGAAAATCCGTATGTGATTGGCTGACGAAATTACGAAATCAGAACTATTCTTAATAGAAAATACATTAATATAATATTAATATTAATAATCGGAACTCTCTTAATAATATCACAAGTGTTGTGTTAAAATCAAGCAGCATTTCTGCAGTTAAAAATATTATTGTGAATTAAATAAATTATAATCGTGTTGCATCATCATTGTGGATTAAATGAATTAAAATCGTGATACATGATCATTGTGGATAAATGAATTATAATCGTGATACATGATCATTGTGGATAAATAAATTATAATCGTGATACATGATCATTGTGGATTAAATGAATTAAAATCGTGATACATGATAATTGAGATAAATGAATTAAAATCGTGTTGCATGATCATTGTGGATTAAATGAATTAAAATCGTGATACATGATCAATGTGGATTAATGAATTATAATCGTGATACATGATCATTGTGAATTATATGAATTATAATCGTGATACATGATCATCGTGGATTATATGAATTATAATCGTGATACATGATAATTGTGCATTAAATGAATTTTAATCGTGATACATGATAATTGTGCATTAAATGAATTATAATCGTGATACATGATAATTGTGCATTAAATGAATTTTAATCGTGATACATGATAATTGTGCATTAAATGAATTTTAATCGTGATACATGATAATACGTGCCGACCGGCCACTGAAATGCCGGTAATACCGTTAACGGTCATTTTTCTAACAGTGTGTTGAATTAGTGCGTCAATTATTGCAAATATACTAAATTTCGATTTTAATTGGAAATCCTGCAGTTATGTAGATGTAATTAAATTATATATTATACATTAACTTTCATTGGCATAGATTATCATTTTGTATTATCATTGAAGGTATTGGGACCTCTATATATATTTTATCCTCACCGTCATGTTTTCTTTCAATTCTGAGTCACGGTTGGTATAACGCTGACTCTGAATTACTTGAAATATAATTGATAGTGTTGATATCCATATTTAATTGCTAAATACTTTATGTCTTCCAGATTTTTTCGTACCTCCGTGCTCAGTTTTCTTCTCTGTTTTGCATTTCCCCTCAGTTTCAAGATATCTCCCGCAGTTTTGTAATCCCACTAAGTTTTGCGTTTCCCCTCAGTTCTGCATTTCCCTCTGCAGATCTGCAGTTCCTCCTTCAGTTCAGAGTTTCCCCTCCTTAGTTCCAAGTTTCCCCTCAGTTCCAAGTTTCCCCTCAGTTCTAAATTTCCCCTCACTTCCAAGTTTCCCCTCAGTTTCAACATCCCCCTCAGTTCCAAGTTTCCCCTCAGTTCCAAGTTTCCCTTCAGTTCCAAGTTTCCCCTCACTTCCAAGTTTCCCCTCACTTCCAAGTTTCCCCTCACTTCCAAGTTTCCCCTCAGTTTCAACATCTCCCCTCAGTTCCAAGTTTCCCCTCAGTTCCAAGTTTCCCCTCAGTTCCAAGTTTCCCCTCAGTTCCGAGTTTCCCCTCACTTCCAAGTTTCCCTCATTTCCGAGTTTCCCCTCACTTCCAAGTTTCCCCTCAGTTCCAAGTTTCCCCTCAGTTTCAACATTACCCCTCAGTTTCAACACCCCCCCTCAGTTCCAAGTTTCCCCTCAGTTCCAAGTTTCCCCTCAGTTNAAACTATAATCGTGATACATGATCATTGTGGACAGATCAACTATAATCGTGATACATGATCATTGTGGACAGATCAACTATAATCGTGATACATGATCATTGTGGACAGATCAACTATAATCGTGATACATGATCATTGTGGATAGATCAACTATAATCGTGATACATGATCATTGTGGATAGATCAACTATAATCGTGATACATGATCATTGTGGACAGATCAACTATAATCGTGATACATGATCATTGTGGACAGATCAACTATAATCGTGATACATGATCATTGTGGACAGATCAACTATAATCGTGATACATGATCATTGTGGATAGATCAACTATAATCGTGATACATGATCATTGTGGATAGATCAACTATAATCGTGATACATGATCATTGTGGACAGATCAACTATAATCGTGATACATGATCATTGTGGATAGATTAACTATAATCGTGATACATGCTACCAGGTCTCTGGACCGTGACGCGTACCACCAGCTCGGGGTACTGGCTGGCACCGTGCAACTGGGAAGTACCGTGCACCCAACCACTGATTTGTGGTACCTCAGAGGGACCAGGCTCAGGAGGTCAGTGATGAATGCATTCATGATTCACCATTCATTCATGATTCACCATTCATTCATGATTCACCATTCATTCATGATTCACCATTCATTCATGATTCACCATTCATTCATTATTCAGCATTCATTCATGATTCACCATTCATACACGATTCACCATTCATTCATGATTCACCATTCATTAATGATTCACCATTCATTCATGATTCACCATTCATTCACCATTCACATTCATTCATCATTCACCATTCATTCATAATTCACCATTCATTCATGATGTGTGATTCTTCACTCATAGAAGTAAGCGAGACTTAGTCCGAATAGCGAGGCACTTTTCGCCGTTGTGTGGGTCATCCTGACACAGTTTGGCTCTGTAAGAGGGCGTATCAGTGATACATTTCTATCATGCATGAATAAGTGTGTCATGCATGCATGGGTCACTAAGAACGTGTGTTACTAATAGCGCTATATGGGCCATTTATTGTTCTTAGTGTCGATATTATAGCGGATAACACTTAACACAATACGAAGTATTACTTTAAATTGAACATTTAATGTTCTCGTGGGAACATTCATGCTTATCTGCAGTGGTATAAGAGCAGGCATCCTGACATCAACACTTGTGAACGGAAGGCAAAAAATAAATGATTGAGTGGTTGTATAGTTTTTTTAATGCATTATAATACATTAATAATTTCTGTTTTAGATGGGGCATGGGTGAAGCGGCCAGTAAACTCCACCGCTCCGTGGAGTTCAACTCCATGCTCCAAAATGGAGATTTTCTTTTTCTGTCTTCCTTCTGCTACCCCACTTCCTTAACTAAGTAAATATCCTTATTGATTACTAAGTTCTTGGTACGCCTTTGCAATAAAAGATGTGATAGAATTAAATAAAATATAATCATAAAACTTATCCATGAATATTTCGGAATTAATTTTTTTTATAACATATTAAATGTATTCTTATTTATTTATATTATAAGTCTCATTTCCTGAAAATTTGTTCTTGCTCCGCTTGTACTAAAGAAACCAGGTTTAATTCGGGCCTATTTCATATTTTATATATTATACATTCTACCTGATAATTTTTTGTATAATATATTTTCACACAATATACATGTTCACACAACAATACGTTTCCACACAATATATTTTCACATAACAATATATTTCACACAACAGTACATTTCCACACAATACATTTTCACACAACAATACATGTTCACACAATACATTTTCACACAACAATACATTTTCACACAAAAATATATCTTCACCCAACAATACTTTTTCACACAACAATACATGTTCACACGATACATTTTCACACAAGAATATATGTTCACCCAACAATACATGTTGACACAACAATACTTTTTCACACAACAACAATATCGTTTTCACACAACAATATATCTTCACAAAACAATACATTTTCACACAACAATATATCTTCACAAAACAATACATTTTCACACAACTATATATCTTCACAAAACAATACAGGTTCACACAACAATATATCTTCACAAAACAATACATGTTCACACAACAATATATCTTCACAAAACAATACATGTTCACACAACAATATATCTTCACAAAACAATACATGTTCACACATTTCACACAGTTGCACGTTCGGGTACCTGGAGACGGCCAGTGGGGAGTATTACCCCGTGAGGTCCTCGAGCTTTGACATGCAGGAGGTGGGGGAGGATGACGTCCTACCTTCCCATGTTACTTTCCGGTGCTTGGGTCAGTTCTTTATTAATGATCTACGTAGAAATTATCATTTAAAATAATGGTGAATTATATGTAAGTGGGTTAGTTCTTTGTTAATGATCTACGGGGAAATTATCATTTAAAATAATGGTGAATTATATGTAAGTGGGTTAGTTCTTTGTTTACGATCTCTGTTCAAATTATCATTTAAAATAATAGTGAATAGTGAATTAGGTATATGTAAGTGGGTCAGTTCTTTGTTTACGATCTCTGTTCAAATTATCATTTAAAATAATAGTGAATAGTGAATTATATGTAAGTGGGTCAGTTCTTTGTTTACGATCTCTGGGGAAATTATCATTTAAAATAATAGTGAATTATATGTAAATATTTTTACATTATACATTTTGTTTTGGTTACAGTCGTTGTGTGACTTATGATAAGAATGGCAGTGAATAATATGTACTGTAACTGTTGGTCTAGGAAGAGACAAGTTCGAACAAATACAGAAATGACGTGCAATATTTATTCAAGTGAATATAAATTCAGTACTATTTGACAGTCATGCGTTAAATACGTTATGAAGAAACGTTATTTTGAATTTTTTAAAAGACGTACTCGTAAAATGGTAAGACGTACTATCCATCTTGAATTTCTTTAAAAGGCATATACTTATACGAATTTGTTTAAAGGCATATAAGTATTCGAATTTGTTTAAAAGCATATACGTATTCGAATTTGTTTAAAAGCATATACGTATTCGAATTTGTTTAAAAGCATATACGTATTCGAATTTGTTCAAAAGCATATACGTATTCGAATTTGTTTAAAAGCATATACCTATACGAATTTGTTCAAAAGCATATACGTATTCGAATTTGTTCAAAAGCATATACGTATTCGAATTTGTTTAAAAGCATATACCTATACGAATTTGTTTAAAAGCATACACATGTAATATATATTTATTTAATAGGCATATGTACATAGGTCTTAACGTAGCAGCTGGTGTACGTGTTACAGCTGGCACGCGCCGTGTACACGTATGCATTACACTGGACCGTGGCACGGTACGTTACTACAGCGGTGACCCGTGGACGTTACAGCACGACGTCTGCGCTACCACCGCCTACGTCGACGACGTCTGTGGTGCTGGCGTTGCGGTCTTCACGCGCAGGTAACGTCTGCATCATCTGTGCTGTTTTTTTTTGTATTTTTTTAATTTGTATTTCTTACATTTGTAGTTCTTAAATTTGCAATTCTTAAATTTGTAATTCATAAATTTGTTATTCCTTAATTTGTATTTCTTAAATTTGTAGTTTTTAAATTGTATTACTTAACTTTGTATTCCTAGAATTTGTAGTTATTAAATTTTTATGCATTAGGTATATTTTTATTCATTAAATTTTACAATTTTGATCGAAAATACTGCAGTGCTTTTTGAGTACACTTAATTCTTTCAAATTAACTATAAAGCTAGCGTTAACTAGTAGTGAACCTAACGTCAAGTTTGAACAAACTAGTAAATGAACAAACTCTACATTGTACACTATTGCGCTATATTGCAGGGTTGATTGATTTCTTATTGACAATTATGGTCTTATTGCTTTTGTTAATCGTCAAAAAATTGTCAATAAGAAATACTCTCTGGTCTTCAATGGAACCTGCAGGGAAAAACAACTTCTACTGAACTACACTAATATTCCGCTATAGAGTATGAATGTGTTGCTGTACAAAATCAAAATCATCCACACGTACAAATTTGGCCGACACCTTGATAAAATTAAATTATTTTGTGATACAATTTTATCTGTAAGACGTTAATTTTATAATTTAATTTACTAGGTATTAATTTTAATTACTGTTTAAGTATTTTACAATATAATTACATTTGATTCTCTTTAAATTTCACGCATAGGATATGTAAGGCAATGGTCGGACATTACTGAACTCCAGTCTCAGTTTTACAGACCTGTATGAATTCACATATTTAATACTTGGCCTAAGTAATTTGACATTGCAAATCCAGACCAGATTAAGTGTTTACTAACGAGATACGGGTTTTCGAAGAATTGAAAAGCCGAGAAAATGCCCAGTAAATTCACTATATCTTCATAAAAACGTTTCAGAGACCAGCTGCATCATCAGTTGGAGCTACATAAATATTTGAAGATACACGTACAGTCACTAGTGAACATAAAAATATACAAGAAAAATAATAAGACCAAAGTATCGATAAAACGACAACAGATAGTAAGAAGCCTATCAATTTACAATTTAAAGGGAATAAGAACTGGACGTGGTTTCTGTCCGGATGCGGTCTAACCTTGTCAATGAATATAGTTGTGCGTGCTGCGCATCAGCGTACGTTGGCATGACTTAGCATAACCTGTATATCCTGGTTTTTGAGCAATGCGACTGTAGCTTTCATTCAAACATGCCACAGAAATTCCACATGCCCCTTCGTGTTATTGAAATTCCACATGCCACACTTGTTTATGAATACAGTTGTGCGTGCTGCGCATCATCACACGCCGGAATGACGTAGTGTAACATCTACATCAAGGTTTTAGAACAACGCGACTGCAGCTTTCATTCAAACTCAAACATGCCACTTTATAAGCCTAGTCACCCAGCTGTGCGCCTTTCCTTCTTATTAAAATTTTTTTTCTCACGCTGAACAGTGCGACGAGACTGTATATAAGTACAATTGCAAGGTAGTTGGGGCAACCTCTGATGATTCGGATTTAAGGATTTTAGAATCGCAGCATATTTATTAGAGAAAACCTTGAAAAAATAATGCGCACAGTTCTTATCCTCTTGAACTTTTAAATTGATAGGTTTTCATTTTCCATTGCCGGTTTCTCGAAACTTAGGTTTTGGTATTTGTCATGTATTTTTTGATTTCCAGTGGTGATTGTGCTTGTATTTTCAAAAAATTATTAACTTATGATGGAACTGGTCACCGAAACTTTTTCATGAAGATATGGTGAATTTGCACGATGTTTACTTTGCTTTTAATTTCGTGGTGAACTTGCGATTTTAGCAGACTAATGATAATGTTATGGGTTTTATATAGAGACGTACGGGGTTTGATAACGAGATAGAGCTTGGTTACGAAGTGCGGTCTTGCTGACGGGTTCGGTACCTCAGCTTCACAGGCTTGTGTCTAGGCAGACTAATGATAAATGTAATGGTTTTCTAGAGACGTAAGGGGTTTGATAACGCGATTAAGCATGGTGACGAAGTGCTTGCTGACGGGTTCGGTACCGCAGCACGGGCTTGTGTCTAAGCAGACTAATGATGAAGGAATGGTTTTCTAGAGATGTAAAAGGTTTGATAACGAAATAAAGCTTGGTTACGAAGGGTGTTGGCTTACTGAAGGGTTCGGTACCTCAGCTTTACAGGCTTGTGTCTAGGCAGACTAATGATAAAGGAATGGTTTTCTAGAGACGTACAAGGTTTAATAACGAGATAAAGCTTAGTTACGAAGTGTGTGCGCTTGCTGAAGGGTTCGGTACAGCAGATTTACAGGCTTGTGTCCAGGCAGACTAATGATAAAGTTATGTGTTTTATAGAGACGTACGGGTTTGATAACGAGATATAGCTTGGTTACGAAGTGCTTGCTGACGTGTTCGGTACCTCAGCTTTACAGGCTTGTGTCTAGGCAGACTAATGATAAAGGTATTTGGGTTTTCTAGAGATGTAAAAGGTTTGATAATGAGATAAAGCTTGGTGACGAAGTATGGCTTGCTGACGGGTTCGGTACCGCAGCACGGGCTTGTGTCTAGGCGGACTAATGATAAAATAAAAGAATGGTTTTCTAGAGACGTACAAGGTTTAATAACGACATAAAGCTTGGTTTCGAAGTATGGCTTACTGACAGGTTCGGTGCCTCAGCTTTACAGGCTTGTGTCCGGTACCGGAGCCCGAGGAGATCGAGTGGCCGGTGTCGAGTGAAGACGATGGTGGGGACGGTGATGAGACCTTCCCTGTGGTGACGAGGGACGAACCCCTCCCTGTGGTGGTGACGAGGGACGAGCCCCTCCCTGTGGTGGAGAGATTGAGCGACGAGCGGTGTCGGGACGTGACTCTTGCTGGGGGCAAGGGCGCCTCGTTGGCCGTCCTCAGTGCCTTCCAGCAGCAGCGACATCTCCCTCAGGAGGTCAGCGACTCTTTCTTTCTAAAAGGAGATTAGTGCGTAGTGTCGTAGTGATGTTAATGAGTTAATCTATTTATAAAATGGCCATTAATTAGTCGTTTAGGCATAGAGCTGCACTGTTAGAAAAAACGGTGAAAAAATGGTCCCACCGGCATCCTAGTGGCCGGTCGCCCCGTGAAAATAAACTGTTTCGCCATTTTTATCAGATGTTTTACGGATTTCTGGTGTTAAATTAGAATAAAAACGGCGACACGGTGTTTCTTTTTACGTGCCGACCGGCCACTGAAATGCCGGTAATGCATTTCTCAAGAGCTAGTCAAGAAACCTAGCCTTCACTGACAGTAACGCTCCTTACCTCATTTTTAGACATGAATACCATTGATGACGGTTAATGTAATGAGAAAGTATTATTATTATTATTATATTTTTGTAAATTGTTATCATGCCCCAGGAAGGGCGCGAGGCATCAGTACAACACTTTGCCATGCTCCGAGGACGACTATTTATATATATTTTAGTTGTTGGAGGCGACAGCTCCCATAAAATAAAGCGCTGTGCACATTCAGTTTTATCCAAACAGATATCATACGTAAAACTTTATACAAAATAGTTATTATCATGCCCCAGGAAGGGCACGAGGCATCAGTACACCGCCCCATGCCCCGAGAACGACTATGTGGTGTTGGAGACAACAGCTCATATAAAATATAGCGCTGTGAACATTCAGTTTCCATCTAAACAGAGATTCTACGTAAGACTTTATATAAAATAGTTACTATCATGCCCCAGGAAGGGCGCGAGGCATCACTACAACACCTTGCCATAGTTTCCCCTCAGTTCCAAGTTTCCCCTCAGTTCTGCCACCCCCCTGCCCTCAGTTCCGTGTGCCCGACGGCATCACGGTGACGACGCAGGCGTGGCGTCTGCAGCTCGCCAGCAGCGCCGCCGTCACCGCCGCCCTGCAGGGCATCGAGCGCGCCCTCGGCTCTGCTCAGGACTCGCAGATCAAAGACGCATGTGATAAGTGAGTCAAATATGGGACAATACACCCATACACTCGGGGAAATAAGTGGCTAAATATGAGGAAATAAGCTCATGCGCCCAGTGAAATGAGAGACCAAATACATGGAAATATACCCATACACCCAGAGAAATCAATGGCTAAATATGAGGAAATATACTCCTACGCCCATTGAAATGATGGACCAAAAACATGGAAATATACCTATTCACTCAAAAAATCAATGGCTAAATACGATGAAAGATGCCAGTGAAATGAGTGACCATATATAAAGGGAAATATACTCATACACGCATTGAAATGAGAGACCAAATACATGGAAATATACCCATACACCCAGAAAAATCAATGGTTAAATACAGGGAAAGATGCCAGGGAAATGAGAGACCAAAAACCTAGAAATATAGATATTCACTCAAAAAAATGAATGGCTAAATACAGTGAAAGATGCCAGGGAAATGAGAGACCAAAAACTTAGAAATATCCATATTTACTCAGAAAAATGAGTAGCTAAATACGCGGAAAGTGACCGCTTGGACGTCTTGTCCGTCCGTTATACCTAGCCGAGCAGAACTTAGGATCTGATATTATTATTGTAAAGAACTATTAAATACTTTACCGTGACTTTATTGCCGAACAAGTTTCCTCTGCAATAAAAAAACTTGACATCTTTCCTTCATTTCAGGAAAGTATTTTGTGTATCAATGATTACCGTGACGTTGCATTTTATTCAGAGAAATAGACGTATCTCACAAGAGTCTTTCCCGTATTGGTTGTTACCGTGTTATTATTATTATTTATTAACCAACGATGATACCATATATCATCATAATTAAAGTTTCTTATAATTTGATTATTGCTAAGTTATTATTATTATTATTTACCTTCGCTGACACCATATATCATCATCATTAAAATTACTCATAATTTAATTATTACCAAGTTACTAATATTGTTATTATTATTATAATTATCATTTACCTACGCTGACACCATATCATCATCATCAAAATTCCTCATAATTAATCAAATATCCCTAACAAAAGAGCCTCAGAAGCGCTACGGAGCAGCGCCGTGTGTGCGGACGTACGTAGCGCCGTAGAAGGAGCCCTCGTAGATCTCTACGAGACTAATTGTATTAATCTATTAATATAATCGATTATTAATATTAATCTAATATTATTAATCGATTGTATTAATCCAATATCCCTTACATAAGAGCCTCAGAAGCGCTACGGAGCAGCGCCGTGTGTCCGGACGTACGTAGCGCCGTAGAAGGAGCCCTCATTGATCTCTACGAGACGCCTAACCCGGACGTGCGTTTTGCCGTCCGTTCGTCCGGACGTGACGAGGACGGTGACGAGGCGTCCGCTGCTGGACAGAACCTCACAGTGCTGGGCTGTTCTGGGCTGGACCAGGTGCTGGATGCCCTGGTTCAGTGCTGGGCTTCTGTAGTGCAGTTCTCCAGCGTCCAATACAGAAGGTCAGTTGCTTTTTCTTCGAGGTTTAGATCCTGTTTTTTTTATTGGAGGTTTTTCGAGGATTTTACTGTTTTTTATTCTTCGAGGTTTAGATCCTGTTTTTTTATTGGAATTTTTTTCGAGGTTTTTACTGTTTTTTATTGCAAGTTTTTGCCAAGGCACAGACAATACAGTGAATCAAAATACACCTCTTTTTTTTAATTTCATGATAATATAATTTGAAATTGAACTCGTGTGTTAGCTGGGGTAGTTGAATTCATGTAAATAATTAATTTTTTGCTCCTTATTTACCATGAATGTATTTATATTGTCGGACATCTGGCAGCGCGACATATGCCTACAATCCAACAATGAACACATGATAAATACCTGTATACGATGAATACAGTAACATCACTATGAACATCATATCATGAACATCATTGTAAACATCATTATCATCATTATGGACATCATTATGAACATCACTATCATCAACATCATCATCAACATCATTAATTATGAACATCATCACGATGATGTACCAGACAGCGCGGCATGGCGCCGGTGAGCGAGATGGCGGTGGTGGTGCAGGAGATGGTGGCCGCCGACATGGCGGGTGTGATGTTCACCCGTGACCCCGCCACCGGGTCTCCCGCCACCGTCACCATCACCGCCAACTACGGCCTGGGCGAGGTCAATGTCGGGGTCAATGTCGGGGTCAATGTCGTGAATATCGGGGTCAATGTCGGGGTCAATGTCGGGGTCAATGTCGGGGTCAATGTCGGGGTCAATGTCGTGAATATCAGGGTCGATGTCGGGGTCAATGTCGGAGTCAATGTCGGGGTCAATGTCGGGGTCAATGTGGGAGTGAATGTCGGGGTTAATGTCGTCGTGAATGTCGGGGTCAATGTCGGGGTCAATTTCGGGGCGAATGTATTAATATTAATATATTAATATTTAATATAAATTTTTAACACGGTACCAGAGCGTAGTGTCGGGGAGCGCTGAGCCTGACACGGTGGTGGTGGCGGTGTCGTGGCGGGGGCGCCTCTCCCTGACGTCCCGTGTCACGGGGGACAAGGCAACCAAACACATCATGAGCGGTGTGTTGTGTGATGTGTTATCCTGTGATGTGTTATCCCTGTGATGTGTTATCCTGTGATGTGTTATCCCTGTGATGTGTTATCCCTGTGATGTGTTGTCCCTGTGATGTGTTCTCCCTGTGATGTGTTATCCCTGTGATGTGTTCTCCCTGTGATGTGTTCTCCCTGTGATGTGTTCTCCCTGTGATGTGTTCTCCCTGTGATGTGTTCTCCCTGTGATGTGTTCTC